ATTGCGCGTTTGCCTCGAGCCTCGACGAACCCTCGAGATTGTTCTTCGGTAATTCAGAAGAAGATTATCCAAATACTATTTCTGAGCATAATCCACACCGCAAATTCAATATCCCTAGTAGCGGCTACTAAGTAGCCTAATAACTCTAATAGTTATCGCATATAGCATAGGTTCAAAAATCCGGATTCTTCGCCCCGCCCCTAAATTACTCAATCCGCCCCTAAATATGCCACATGCGTTCTAAAGTTGGATGAGTCATCCGCTATCGTTACAGCTTCTCTGAGACTGACATACATGGCACAGTTTCTGTCTCAGTGACCCATACCAGTGTGCTTAGCTAATAAATGTAGTTACGTGGTGGAGTTCAGTACGCTCAGTACGTGTTCAGGGCGGCCATTGGCCGCCGGCCAAGATCAGTAGATAGCACGGCTCAACACAACGATGCGAAACTAGATTGATCATTGCGTCGGCCAAGGTTTCGAAACGTTCAAGCCAGTGGCTGGTCAAGTTCGAACATGTATCTTTCAGACGGCCAGGGTCAAGCGTGATGCACATGAGTTTTCCTCAAGATGTCATGGCAGTCAACAAAGCCACGTGACATGCTTGCAGTGAAGCTTCAGGGACGCTCGGGTAGCTTGAAAAGTTAGGGGCCGGTACGAGTCATTTAGGGGCGGATTGGGCAATTTAGGGGCGGATTGAGTACCTTAGGGGCGACGAATCTAGGGGCGCGGATGAGCAGGTGCCGGGTTTCAGTGGTTCCATTGTGCGCAACTTTTCGAAATAGAAAATACATAAAAATGCCGGAGCCTTGGATCGAACCGGCGCCCCTAAATCGAAAGAATCGATTCGAGATCGATTCTCGGTTACCGGTATCGATATTGGACCAATCGATTGTATAACCTCTGGGACCGAATCGATTCGAGATCGAGCCTCGAAACTCGAAAAGTTCAGAAGTATGTTTCCCAAGTATGTGACTGCTCAGGGGTATCGCGGAGCTCACTTTTCCGCAGTGGTCGCAACGTGATGTTGAACGACGGAGTGAGGGCCATTGGATTCGTGCCCTCTAGTCGCTTGAGGATTTCTTCAACAAGCTCCAGCTCTTGGGTATGAGGATGTAGCTTGACCGTGTCTATGTCCTGGATGGGATGAGGCAACGTCATATCTTTGAGGTTTGGGGCTCCCTCATTATCGTCTTCGTCAAGTCCTCGGCAATCCGTCCGCCGGGTGCTTTCATTCTCCATAGTGCTAGAACAATAAATCAATTCTCCATTATACAGCATCTTCTTAGCCCCGATGGTCACAATGCCCCATCTCTCTAGGAACCCCCGGCCAAGCAATAATACTGGTTCGGCATTCTCTGTGCTACTTTTCAGTATAATGAAGGACTCCTTCCCTGTCCCAATCTCTCTATTGTCAATTGTATAAAGTTTCAGCTCCCCTTCGACACCTCCTAAAGTGTCAGCTCGACCGCCATCGGCCAAAGTCACCAATAAATTAACAGACTGAAGTCTCAACGATTCAGCAACTTCGTATACTCAAAATAAGATAGTTCTGGCCCGCTCCATGGTCCGCGATGGTTTGGACCTGCAACTCTCGGGTCTCCCCATCTCTCACTCCTGGAAGAAAAAGCTTCGCCGTGAATCTCAACGGCGGCGGGGACTTTCCCGCGGAAAAGGGTGCGCTGCGGTCGACAGCGTAAACAACGTGGGAAACAGATGGTAATGATACGACTTGCTCTGCATTGGAGCTAGATTTTTTGTTATGCGAAGACTGATGACGGCAAAATGATGAGTGTTGACGAAGATCTATGTGTTGATGATGCGAATAAGAAGAAAACGATGCAAAGGAAGAATTTTTGGGAAGCAAGTGTACAGTGCTTTCTAGTTTTTTCCCCTCAGATCGTACTCTCGACTTCGGTACTGAGGGTTATTCTCAACAGCTTGTTTACTCCAATCCTCGCCTTTAGAGCGATTCTCGCACCCAAGAAGATAGTAGGTCCTCCCCTTCTTGTCGGTTTGGGCGAGAAGGTCATCGCTCCCAAAATCGTTGTAGATCCTAGCCTCTTTGTAGTTCCATGGTGCCGTCACGAAAAGGCAGAGCCCAAAGCGCTTGGCGAAGCGCTCACGCTCCCCATTGCGAGCACTGGCCGAGGCTTTTTGCTTATCCTCCTTCGACTTTGACTCGTTATGGGCCTTGCGTTCTGCCTCCATCTCGTCAATGGTCCTCTGGACTTGGTCAACATCAGCATCTCCATCCGCATCATCTTCAGCTCCTTTGTGTGTGTCCCAATGACCCTGGCTCCAGGTCGCTCGTACCTGATCCCGGTTTCGCCCCTGGTTGTTCGTCTGGTGCTTTCCCCCGGTAGACAGGTCTGCCTTACGCTCTCGTCGGCTTCTGTAGGCTGCCTCATCGGTCAACGCCGCTTCTCTTATAGTAGTCTCCAGCTCCGTCAGGCTTCTCACATCTTCCCAATCTCTGCAATCTCCACGCTCTCGCGCCAGATCTTGCAGTTTTCGAACAGCATCCCGCTCGACAAAGTTCGGCAGTGCTCCGATGGCCTGCCTTACGAGCCGTTTCCTCTCGGAGACGTCATCGGCATATACACTCATAAGGAGAGTGTACGCTCTCCGCAGCTGGGTGAGAAAGCTCTCGATCTGACCAGAGTTGTCACACTTGAACTCAGCGACGGCCTTGTGAAAATAGTCCTGAAGGTGATGGCGACGACAGTGTCGCCATTTAAGCATCTCTTTCAG